CTCTGATACACAAAGCCGCTGGTGGATTTGGAGCACTCAATGTCTATGCAAGATCAGTCATTTCGGTTCCTTATGCAAAACCTGCTGGAGATTTCAGTTTACTTATTGGTGATTGGTATAAGACCAGCCACAAGGTGAGCTTTGGATATATTCATCTTTCACAAACTCATTGCATAGTTTATAAATCTATACTTGATATATTCTTGTGAAAAAAACATTTTTTTCGTAGATAAGCTCCTAAATCACCAAGATAATTTTTCTCAACCTCAGTTTATTATTGTATAACCTACCATTTTTAATCGTTGAAAAATGATGCAAAAAAATGGACACAACCCTCATATGACCTCATTTCATGTGAAATATTGATGGAAAATTGGGTTCTTTATATTGTTGAAGCTGATAATTGATAAACATCAGTTCATCTCTGGAATGCATTTTATACAAAATTTTCCGTGATTGGGTTGTGTACATTTTTCATTTTGCATATGCGATCCATCTTAAACACGTCAAATAATAATAGAAATGTGTTTTCAGGCCTTGCAACAAATTCTGGATTCTGGAAAAGCCCTGCCTTTCCCCAATGGCCTCCTTATAAATGCACTGACTCAGTCTTCCTTCAGTGGTGATCAAGGTCTTCTCGATCTTTGATATCAATTTATAGGTCCTTACGATTTCTTTTTTCCAAAAGTCAGACTAACATATCTCCCTACCTTTGATTTCCAGGTAAAACATACATGTTCAGGGTTTCCAATGTGGGTTTATCCACCTCCTTCAATTTCAGAATTCAGGGCCACAAAATGAAGCTGGTCGAGGTCGAAGGATCCCATGTCATTCAAAACTTTTACGATTCTCTTGATGTTCATGTGGGTCAATCCATGTCTGTTTTAGTGACCTTGGATCAGCCTCCAAAGGATTATTACATTGTTGCATCTACTAGGTTCACAAAGACGGTTCTTACCACCACAGCAGTTTTGCATTATACAAACTCTCAGACTCCGGTTTCTGGACCTGTACCAGCTGGTCCGACTTATGAAATTCATTGGTCCATTCAGCAAGCTAGAACTTACAGGTATGTCTAATGAGAAATTTGTTCACATGCACTGGCTTGTATCCATCTCCACATTTTTCTACTGACACAAGGTCAAACATAAAACACTTCACATTACATAAAAATCTGACTTACTCATATAGCCTAAGACTGTATCCATCTTTGTATAAACTCTTACAATTGCATGTTTGGTACTTTGTAATTGACAAGACTAAACAGTATAACGTAACATGATTTTGACTTTTTTCTCTTTAAAACTATTTGGTGTTATCCAATCCTTCGTCCCTAACATGTATTGGATATAGATGCAAAAGGTCGTACTACATGGTTAATACAATAACTACTTCTATTGCTGTATTTAAGAACAAAAGCTATGACTCAATGCCCATTGAGTCATTCCATGCCTTCATCTTAATATGAATATTGTAATGTGTTTCTTGAATAACCTAATTTTAGTTGTCTCTTGCAGGTGGAATTTGACGTCAAATGCTGCCAGGCCCAACCCTCAGGGTTCTTTCCATTATGGGAAAATTACACCATCAAGGACCATTGTACTGGTTAATTCAGCGCCTATTATAAATGGGAAACAAAGATATGCCGTAAACAGCGTCTCTCACACCAATGCTGACACCCCTCTGAAGCTTGCCGATTATTTCAACATCCCTGATGTTTTTAGCCTCAACTCCATCGAGAGTGCTCCATCAGGACGTTCTCCCTACCTATCTACATCTGTATTGTCAACCTCTCTCCACGAATTCATTGAAGTCGTTTTCCAAAATAATGAGAACATGATGCAGTCTTGGCATCTTGATGGATATGATTTCTGGGTTGTAGGGTAAGCTGCCATATCTATATCTGTCATTTATTTGTTGCAAAGAGTTTTAAGTATTTAATCCTTCTTCTGGTTACAAATAACAGATTTGGCTCTGGGCAGTGGACACAAGACAGCAGAAAGAAATACAATCGTGTTGATGCTCTGACCAGACACACGACACAGGTAAATCGAGCATTATTGGCCATCTTATATGTACATAATTTCATGTTATAAACACCTTTCATTCTTGTCACATGGGATTCAAATTCATCCTAATATATTGCATGGATTACAATTCAGGTTTATCCGAATTCTTGGACTGCAATATTAGTCTCCTTGGACAACCAGGGTATGTGGAACATGAGGTCTGCAATGTGGGGAAGACAATATCTTGGGCAGCAATTCTATCTCAGAGTGTACAATCCGGTTCCGAGTCTTGCTAATGAATATGATATTCCTTCTAACGCTCTGCTCTGTGGTAAAGCTGTTGGACGACACCATCCTTAATTAGTTTTATGTTTTTAAGGAGAGTATTGTGTTTCCAAGTCATGAGAGGTTGACTTAAAGAGGGAATTTTTGCTTCTTAAATTGTATATCTCAGACAATATTAAGGTCAAGTTTACTTGTTCTGCTTGGTTGTTTAATCAATTATTTATATTCAATCATGGAGATCTTTATGCCTCTTGGGTCTTTTGTTTTGTCTAAACATCCCACCGAAATGTATGTTGATTTTGCACGTACTCTTCTACCACTTGGTTAAATTCTAAGATGTATAAATGTATATTGACACTGGATACCAATTGACACTTCGGGCCCGAATCCACTAAAGTTTTCGACTCTAAGATATGTAAATGTATATCGACACTTGATACCAATGGGCACGTCTGTCCTGAACAACTTTACTGGATTCCTAACGTGATATTAGAAGATCATCCCTTCCCACGTGGGTTTGGGCGTCATATAAGTAAGTTACGAGGCTGAACTGTGAACTAAATACAACTCATGTTGGGCTATGGTTGGTGGGGCTAACGTGTGCTTTTATTTTTCGTTTTAGTGTTTTTAATGTCTCCCTGTTGAAATTAATATTGTGAAATTTTTATCAGAATTGAAATGAAATATTGTTCACTTAGTGACATAGATGTGAGATGTAATGAAATATTCAAATATAACAAAATATAGATAACAAAAAATTATACAAATAATGGATAATTTTGGTTCAATATTTTTAATTCTAGCTTGGTATACAAAAGTTACCAAAAATATTGGATCAAATCAGAACCGGATCGGAATCGACTAGTTCTGTCTGCGTCTACTTATGTTTAAAGCAAAAATCGATTGATTTTGATCTAGTTCTCAATTCGTACCAATGATTCTATTTTTAAAATTCTATTAGTTCTAGGTTCGATTCAATTATCTTTGAATCAAATCGCACCCAACTCTACTTTCTTTGGGAATAACCATTAGACAAGAGTTCTCTGATCTCTAAAGACCCACCTGGAATGGTAAATGGATTCCCCATTTAATCGGGGAACGGGGTGGGGTGTTGGTAGTTTTTATTATTCTTTTTCAAGTATTTAAAATAATTTATAACTGCAATATAATTATAATATTGTTTAATTTAATCTATATAATTAATAGATTTTAATTTAATTTGATTAACGGGACCATGAATGGGATTGGAGCAGGATCTCTGATTCTCTGTCCTGAACCCCGCGTTGCCATTCCTACCGTCGTGGGTTTGATTTTAGGAAGGGGAATTGTTTACCGGCGGCTAGCAGTACCTGTATGGGTATTTCTTTTTCGCTTTTCAATGAAATGTCATCATGTGTCCCCTGTACACGTAGCATAGCTCTTATTTTAATCCAAAACTTGCCAAATAAGTCTGACTCTACTAATTTGGATTAATCGAAAATTGACCAAAATACCAATAACTAAAATATATACAACCCATCCCATCCCCCCCCCCCCCCCCAACACACACACACACACAACAACAACAACAACAAAAAACGATTCTGTAGCACCATTTTTTGTGGATCACGTTGCTTAGAATGGACATGGCATCCCGATCTTCAGTTTCTCTCTTCATTCTTTACTAGGGCCTTTTATTGTTGGAAGGGAAAAAAAAAAAAAAATCACCCCTTAAAACCCACACATAATCACATAAAAGGATTTTGGCTACTCTTCTTATCCATAAAAATAAAAGAAATTTTGATCGAATAATAAATGAAATGGAATTACATTTTATTTGCTTTGATCTTGATCAGAGAAGGCATGTAGGAGTGTCGATGAATGTGTTAGGAAATTCAACTATTTTGTATGATGTAATTTTTTAAAGAATATATTTTGTGATAAATGATATTTTTGAAGAATGCTTGATTAATAGAAAGTATGAAACAATTATGAATTTACGTGTCAAACACGCTTGACCATACATTTTTGCATTGTGAAGAGTGTCGTAGAAGAGCAAGTTTAACTTCCTTATGGGTGCAGGTGGAATTGGATCCTTCCCAACTGTGAGAATCAGACTTCTGGTTTTAGAGAACTCTTCTCACAAGCCTGCCTCAACACTTCATCCCAATTCATCACTTTTTCACTTTTCATAAAAAAACACTAGTAAAGAATCTACATGTCCACTTGTCAAAGCTGCACCCCACCAGCATGCTTAACTCACCGAATAATGTCTTTGAACCAACTACTCAGACTCTCAGACCAGAACCCTTTTTGAGTATACCAAGATACACATATATTCTTCCACATTGATCTTTTAAACAACACTTTATTAGTGGGCATTTTTAAATTGTTAACTTGATATTTGTCCAAATCTTCTTTGTTTTAGGTGAATTGATCCTTAGTGGCAATTATGGGTGTGGTGTGAAAGGACTCTGAAACAAAAGTAACATAAAGTAACACCAGGATTCTTCCACTGTCTGGTTACATCCTCACATGTTGAGTACAGAATTAATAAAACACGCATACATAAACGAAATATTAAGGAGAAAAAACACACCATAATTAAACACTAACATGAGATACAATAGTATTCATATACCACACCCCAAATGACCTAAAGGAAGAAAACCAATCCCTAGTTTCTTAATTACTGAAATGAAAGAGAAAAAGAAATATTTTTAGTAATTAAGGGTATGCACCATTAGTTGTGGCTAGATCAGTTGGGCCAGCAAGACCGGTATTCCAGAAACCCAATTCACCTCCAGCTACTGGAGCTGACTCCAAAATAGTGGAAGAAGCCATTGATGGTGCAGAAGATATATTTCCGAGAATTACTGGGGCATGTTCTTGATAACAATATGTAGATGATCGAAGCCTCTGATACAGTTCTTGGAGACCATTATTTTGAACTTCTCCCAGTATAACTCCGTTGTTTGCTTGAATTTGTTGCTGATTGTTGCTCCAAAAAGAACCGGGTAGCCCAGTAGAGGAGACCATCTGGCTAACCGGATCCAACCCTAGGGTCCGAGAATTTAAACCACCATTGGATAAAGATGACTCAAAGCTCATGTGGGACCCATAAAAACCACCTTCCTCCTTGACGGTGATAGAATTTGTGATAGGGTTAGGGTTAGAAATTTGGTTTGTTCTCAGTAAGGACAGCAGATGAGAATTTGAAGGGGAAGACCATAGAATAGGGTTTGAGGAAAGATCGGTATGTTGTTCAAAATCACTAAGAAAGCTTGTTTTTCCTGTTTCCGATGAAACTGTTTTCAACTTTCCAGCACTTGTTTTTCCAACAATAATATTCTTGTTTTTACGGCATCCCCCTCCGATGGGGACATTGCGAAGCGCTCCTCCTTTAGTCCAGTAGCGCCGGCAAGTCTTGCAGAAATGGCGTGGCTGAGTGAGGTTGTAGTTGTTGTAGTAACAGAACTTTGTGTTGGAAGATTCGCAACGAGGGCACCTCGGGTTTTCGGTGGTGGAAGAGGTGGCAGTGGCTGTGGCTGTGGTGGTGGTGGTGGTGGAAGAAGAGGGTGAAAGAGACGATGATGGTGAAGGTGAAGGCGAAGGTGAGCCCTCAAAAATTCCATTAGTGGTGGAAAGTTTAGGTCTTTCCCCTCCTATTAATCCAATATTACTCCCTCCTAACAGCTCCTGTATCATCTTTTTCTCTTCTTTGTTGATCTATAACAATCCAAAAACAAGAAAAAGAAAAGATGGATTAGTCTTTTTTTTTTTTTTAAAGGAAAAGCTAAAGAAGGTAGGGTTTGTTGTTGTACGTTTATGCCTGATGATCTTTGAGGGAGAAATGACACTGAGGACTTGCCTTTGATTTGTTGAACTAAAACTTTATGGCGGTAGAGGAACAAAAGATTTCGGCCAAGACAATCCTTAATATATAGAAACACAATAGAGGCCATTAGAGGGACAAGCCACTTTGTCTTCTCTCGAAAACAAAAATGGTCTTAAAATTTGGAAATTAGTGTTTATTTATGGATTCTATTTAACCATTTGGATACAAATACATTGGACTAATCTACTTGTGATTTTTTAAGTAATATACTAATTTGAGAATAATTCTGTCATGAAATTCATTTTTTTATTGTCGTGTATTCTCAACTTGAACAACATACTCTTTATTACTTTTCGCTATTATCTTGGATCGTCACATTCATTACATGCATGGATGTGAATTGTAGCATGAGCCCTATTCTTAGATTAACTTAAATGTCTCCCAATTACGAGTCATCATTTCTTCTACCCGTGTCAAGATTTCTAGCAAAACTCGATCTCTCACCCATCAAGATACACACATATAGATCAAAGCTCCTCTCTCGTAATGGGTACTTCACTAGCTCATTCTAGTTAATAAATATCAACTTTAAGGCGAATTTTTCCTAATCCAAATGTTTAAAATTAAGCTCATGTTAATCAGATCTTATTCCAAATCAAAGTTAATAATTAATTTTAACCACAAATTTTATAGGATCCACAATTTTCCAACTACACATTTTATCAATTTATATAAAAATCTATTAAAAATCTTATTTTAATCCCATTAAACAGGAACTAAATAAGAAGGCCCGCAAATTTAGACCGGTCTACTTTACTAGTATACGAGACCTAGCACGTGCTACACATTGCTAGGATAATTTGAATATGAAGTAATTGCAATACAACTTCAGGGTGAGTGGGCTATTCAAAAATTCACAAATTTGAAAGTTTGAATAGAAATATGTAATGAAGTGCGTTTCTTAATATTATATTGTTATGGATTTCCATTGTACTAAACAAGAAATTTCAGTTGGAAGTGGGAAGGAGAGCTGGGAATATTGATAGCAATCAGATTTGGAAAATTAAAATCTTTGCTTGGAAAACAATGATTACAAGTTCACGGAAATTGCTTATCACTTGGAAACACGTGTAAAGTCTACTGTCCCACCAACGCTACTACAATTCCACTGTCCGAACTCCGAAACTCATGCCTTCAATTTGGCCACTCTCCTAAACAACATTACGACAGTGTATGATTAATCACTTATTTATTCTTAATTTACTCATTTTTCTTATAAATTTACTCAAATATGCACTATATAAGAATGTATAATGAAGATGAATGATTATTACCACTGGCATCGTGTGCAGCACCATGGGGTCATATCATTTTGTGGATATGTTAATTGTTATTCATGCGTATGGCTCTATAAATTTTATGAGTTAAGCTTTTAATTATTTGTGAGTGTGCTCGACTCAATCAATGATCCTTGTTATCATTTTATCAGAGTGATATTTCGAGCTTCCTTGTTTTGGACCCACAGAGAAATTAGGAAAGTGGAAAAGAAATTGAAGTTTGGTTTGAATAGGATAGTATGGAAAATGAAAAAAAGAAAGAATATAATTCCTTTAATTTTATCCTCTAATTTAATACTGTGTACTTAAACTCGGTGAAAAATCAAATCATTGAAAATATGCTTAAATCAAGAAATTTAACTTACTTTAGTTTCAACGGGATGGGTCCCCTGTGAATTTTTTACTATTAACTGTGTGAAACGGCTGCAGATAGGGACAAAGTTAAGAAGACCCCAGTAATACAAATGAATGAAATAATTCTAGGGTCCGTTTCATTGCAAGAATTGAATTTGTGTGGAAATAAAATAAATTATGGGAAATTGAATTGTTTAGAATTGTTTTTCTGTGAATTGTCAATTAATTGTGTTTGATTAGTATAATTTTCTACCTGGATAATGTTGAAATTTTAGATATTTTGGTATTCGTTTGATTTTGTTTTTCATGAAAATTATCTATTAAAGAGAATTTTTTTTACAATTGTTCATAGAATTTATTTTCATTGCCAAAAAAAAAAAAAAAAAAAATCTGGAAAACCAAAT